TATACAGTGTTTGTCTTTGTCTGTCTTATTTCACTGAGCATAATACTCTCCAGGTTCATCTACATTTCTGCAAATGGCAGAATCTCATTCTTTATTATGGCTGAGTCACATTCCATTCTACATACTTACTACATCTTCCTTATCCACTCATCTGTTGATGGGCAATTAGGTTGCTTCTATATCTTGATTACTGTGAATAATGCTACTATGAACATTGAGGTTCATATATCTCTTTTAATTAGTATTTTCATTTCTTCAGATATATACCCAGGAATAGAACTGCTGGATCAGTTCTATTCTTTGTTTTCTCAGGAATATATACTATTTTTTGTAGTGGCTGCACCAACCCACAATCCCACCAGCAGTCTACTAGGGTGCCCTTTTCTCTATATCATCACCAACATTTGTTACTTGTTGACTAGATTTTTCATTTATAGCCTTTCTGAGAGCTGTGAGATGATATCTCACTGTGGTTTTGATTTGAATTTCTCCTTTGATCCCTGGTGGTTCAGACAATAAAGAATCTGCCTGCAATGCAGGAGACCTGGATTCACTCTCTGGGTCTGGAATCCCTGGAGAAGGGCATGGCAACCTACTCCAGTATTCTTGCCCGGTGAATCCCAAGGACTGAGAAGGCTGGCGGGCTACAGTCCATGGCATCACAAAGAGTTGGACATGACTGAGCGACTTACACTCTGACAGCAATGCTAAGCTTCTTCTCTTGTGGTTGTTGACTATCTGTATGTCTTCTTTGAAAAAATGCTTACTCAGGTCTTCTGCCCATTTTCTTTCTTTTTTAAAAAATTAATTTATTCTAACTGGAGGCTAATTATTGCTGTTTTTAAATTGTGTTTTTATATTAAGTTGTAAGAGCTATGTATATATTTGGGATATTAACCACTATGGTCATACCATTGGTTAAATTTATTCCTAGGCATTTTACTCCTTTTAATCCAATTCTAAATTGTTTCATTAATTTCTCTATAGTTCATTATTAGTGTATAGAATAAGCAACATATTTCTGTATATTAATCTTGTATCCTGTAACTTCACCAAACTCATTTATTAGTTATAGTTCTTGATGGAGACTAGGTTTTTCCATACATAGTATCATGTAATCTGCAGTGACAGTTTTATTTCTTCCCTTCCAATCTGGATGCTTTTTAATTCTTTTTCTTGTCTGATTTCTGTGGCTGGGACTTCCAACACTATGTTAAACAGAAGTGGTAAGAGTGGGTGGAGATCCTTGTCTCGTTCCTGATTTTAAAGGGAAGACTTTTAGCTTTTTACCACTGAACAGATGTAACTGGAGGGTTTCTCAAAACTGGCCTTTTTTACGCTTCTCTTACACCCACTTTGATGACAGTTCATCATGAATGAATGTTGGATTTTGTCAAAAGCTTTTTCTCCATCTATTGGTGTAAGTCAGAAACAGAACTGGAAAAGGAGTGCGTGTATTCATATTCTGAGTCTTTTCAGATCCTGGAGATATTCTTCCCTGATAGAACACTTAATGTGTCAGTTACAATATCTGAAGCCATACCAATTAACTTTTGCAATCTGTCATATTAAAATCCTTTGTTCTATCTTGCACTTGAAATTAGTCCATTACCATACATAATTTTATCATAAGACCAGTCATTTGGAAAATACTGCATATCTTCCAAATGTTTACTTATTTTATGATACAAAATATCACACTAAGTATTATCACCACCTATCTCATCAGAAATGTGTTTAAGTATGGGACCTGTTATGCAGACTTGTGGATATATGGTTTCCAAATTTCTAATTTTCAACTGAAGACTAGAATTTTATCATTGGTAGTAAATATTTGTCAGGTTTTTTTTTTTAATGACAGGCTTACTTTGTTCATTTTTGAGAAAATTTCTACCAAATAACAATGTCTGAACGAACAAAGTTTCAGTTTTTAAGTAAAATGGCATTCCATGAAAACAGTTGCTAGTTCAGTGCACAACAAACACACAAGTGCAATTCCCTCAAAACAACTAGTGTGCATTAATTCAATTATGATATATAGAATATTAAAAAGTACACAAACATGAAAATTTAATAAAATTTATTAGCGTCTAAAGTTTAGTAAAATTAATAATGTTCAAAGAAAGCCTTAAGTAATGATATCTTTTTTTTTTTAACTATGAGTGAGTTGCATCTGTTATGAGCATAGTTTGGTGCCACTGCTTTTTACCATGCTAAGACGCCATCAGGTTTATATACCACTGCTTCGGCATCATCTATACTAAATGTCAAGATGGTATAAAAAAGACAAAAAATGAATTCATATTTATAAAAATAGTTTTCACTCACTGACCCCTTGGAAGTGTATTGGACATTTTCATAGAGGTCCACGGACCACACCATCTGCTGGTATGTTTGTGCAAATGTACGTGCATGGAAATGTAAAGACATACATTAATCTACATTTTATATTCTAGAATAGCCAAGCAATGACTAAAGGAAAAAGTAGAGACATTAATTTGCTACATTTCAAAACTTGCTAAAAAGCTAGTTATTAAGATAGTATGATAGTGGTACAAAAGACAGGTGTGTATATATGTATACACACACACACACACACACACACACACACACATATATATATATATGGAAGAAAAAGGAGAATCCAGGAAAAATATGATTTTTTTAAAAAGCATCATCAAAATTCATTGGGGGAAAGATCTTTTTGCTGAACAGTGCTGGAACACACTTATCTCGAAAAAACTTAACCTTGATCCTTGCCTCATCTCAAAATAAAAAATAATTTGAAAAGATTCATAGACTAAATGCAAAAGCCAAAACCATATAGTTATTAAAGAAAAACATCAAAACACATAAAAGGAAAAACAATGGAAAATTTTATTTCTGCTTGTCAAAAAACACCAATAAGAAAGTGAAAAGACAATGAATTGAAAGAACATACTGGCAAAATATCCAACAAAAAGTCTTATCCAGAATAAAGAACCCCTGAAATTCAACAGACAACAGACCCAATAAAAACTGGTGAAAGACTTCACAAATACATTGCAAAAGATATTCAAATCTCCAGTAAGTATATGCAAGGTGCACAGTATCAGTATTCATCAGAGAAAAGCAAATGAAGGCCACAGTTTTACATTCACTAGAATGGCTCACACGCTGCTGTCAAGAATGAAAAAATGGTCCTTTTGGAATACTTCCTTGGCAGTTCCTAATAAAGTTAAACATATGCCTACCTTCCGCGCCAACACTTCCAAATCTATGTACATGCCCTGAAGACATGAATGAGTATGTCAAAAAAAAAGACTTATACAGCAAAGGTTATAGCAGCTTTGTTAATAATATGCCAAAAGCTAAAAACAACAGAGTAATGGATACATAAACTGTGTTATATTCAAACTATGCTGCAATGTAAAAAAAATGAACTAGTTACACATGTAATACCTGAATGAATCTCAAAAACATTAAATTAAGTAAAAGAAGCCAGATGCAAGAGAATGTACAGAACAATTCTATTTACTTTAAGTTCAATATATACAAAGCTAATTTACGATGATAAAAGTCATAGTCTAGGTCAAAGGTAGTCTTGACTGGAGGACGAATAAAAGAACTTTCTGAAATGATGAAAATATTCTAACTTTGATCTGAGTGGTGATTATCTGGGTATAAAAACTGATCAAGCTGTATGATTAAGATATATGCATTTTTGCTATATGTAAACCGTACCCTAATTTAAAAAAAATTCTTCAAAGATGATCTAAAGTAGAGACGTATCAATTTTTCAAGCTAGAAGGAACTTTGCAAATAACCTACAGCCTTGGATTTTGAAGCCATGTCTTAAAGAGCTAGTTCAAGGCAGAGCTGAGACTAGAACCAAAGATCGGTACGTGACTAGTCACTATTCCTTCCACTGCCCCAAGCTTCAAAAACAAAACTGTTCCCAGGAACAATTATTCCCACTTTGATTATTTGCTTTAGTTTTTCTCTGACAGTTTTCAACAATATCCAGGGGAATACCACGAGCTCTGGTTCCGACTAGTTGCCCGGGTGAGGTCCCAGGCTGCTTTTTAATTGCTCACTGGGCTTCCACAATCAATGGAGAGAGGCTCTTTTGTTTGTTTCTAAGTTTATAGATGGCACCTATAAGCATAAGCCTCTCAGGCTCTTGGACAGAATTTAAAATAGTGTGGCACTAACAGTTTGACGCTAATGTCACTAAGACAAATGGAATCCCCGGTTCAGACTTAAACAAATTCTAATACTGCCCCCAATACTGTCCCTCTGCCACCACAGTCTCAGGCAACAGACTACATAAACAGTTCAGCCTTGTATTAAAGATGTAGTAATAACGGTACAAAAAAGAAAAGCTGAGTCTTTTGGCCCAAAAGTCTCATGTAAATATGTGGTACCCTGGTATATCAACAGCAGAGAGAATTCCATCAATTCCTTCTCCAAATGCTTAGGAAAGACTTAAAGTCATGTCATGGACTTGGTGCTTGCAACAGAGAAAGCCAAGGCGAGGTTGCAGCTGACACAGAGATTTATTCAAAGCAGCAATGTGTCATCAGAAAAAACTCTCCCAACAGCTTCTCTACTCCTGTTTACAGTTTCTTCATCTGCAAGTGGGGCAATCATTTTTTCCTTAATTGTACTGAGCTAAAATTTTCCACACTGTTAACTTGAATTTCATCTTCTAAGATCCTATAAACATTAGAAAGAAGAATGAGGGGAATATTTAAATCAAGAGGAGAGAGATGTGACTGAGCACTTTTGTGATGGGAAATCAACTCTTTTCCCTACATTCTTAATCTCTCTAATTTACTTTTGATTCTATATAGGCAGTAGATGTTCACTAGACGAGAGCTGAAATAAGGCACAGACTTCCTCTTTTCTAATTAAAAAGCCAATCTTAATTATCTTAGTTTGAATATTTACTGTTCCAAGTATAAATAGTGTCACAGTAAAATTACTGACCTCCTTTTCCCCCCTCTAAGGGACTCTGTTCACAGGTCAGGACTAAGCCTTCTTTTAATTTCACCCTCATCCCTAATCCTCTTACTGATTCCACAAAGGCTTTGAATACCCAAGGTACAAGTATGCCTGGAGTTTTCGTCACCTTATAATCACAAAGACTATCTGGAACTCTATTAAATGAAAACCATATCATTTATTCAAAGAAATAGCTCAACATTTCAAAAGAACTTTATAGCCTTTATATTTGGGAATTATTTTAGGAAATAATTTGAACATATTCCTGCCCAAAAAGGTATGACAAATTTTTATAAAGGGAAACAAATTATTTTTTGTATTTTTTTTTTTTTTTGGTCTTTTGGCCATCCTGCATGGCATGTGGGGTCCTATTCCCTGATCTGGGATTGAACCTGTGCCCACTGCAGTGGAAACAGGGAGTATTAACCACTGGACCACCAGGGAAGTCCCTTAAATTCTTTTTACAGAGGCAGAGAAGAATGGCGAGGTAGGAAACATGACTTGTTGAAGGCTTCTGCAAGAGTTCAAGACCATGACTATAACACCATGGCATCTATCACTCTGTTCTAGTTATAAAATCATGGAGCTAAATGACCTCACCACAGTAGATTGAAACAGTGTTTCTTATAAATACCTTTGCTCTTACCACCAGCATCTCTTGTGACTCTGATGACTTTAAGATACAATAAGGAAATTTGTCTGCCTCAGATTGGAATGGCAACTATAGATTCATGAAATATAGCCCCTAGGAATATAGTTCCCCCAGTGCATCAGAGAAATCTCTGTAAGATAAAAGCATGCCTCTATAAGAATCTCTCTCCAGCAGAGATTTGACTGCTAGAATAATATCCTTGTTGTTTACCCAGTCATACTTTTCTGATAGGTATAATTTTTTTTAAGGTCTGACTCACCAAATGCCAAATACACAAAGGAGGCACAATTGATCACTATAAAATCAATAAAATCAAACCAGTTTGGATTTTCTTCAAGCAAATAAATTATTTAGATATCTGCAAGAACTGGGTGCTGAAAGCCTGAGTTAATTAAGTGCTTAGAAATTATTTAGATGACTCCAGTTGCACAAAAAAGAACCTTTTTCTTGAGTCAAAAATAGCAACAAATACCAGATCTGCAACTTTGTCCCTATTTAGTAGAGTATGTGATGTAGCACCAATATGTATCAAAGCCTGCTCTGAAGAAGAAGAACTTGTTTCACTTCTCTGTCAGTTTCCCTTCCCCTTATGTCATCTGCTCAGGAATGTACACCCAAGCTGCTCTCATCACTTCTAATAAATTTTCTCTATAAAATGTTTACTTTAGTAGAGTTTGACAAAGATGTCTGCTCTTCATACAAGTGGGGCATAAGTTTGTCTTTAAATCTCAGTTGCTTTGAGTTCTTTCTTGGTAAACACCAATTTCCATAGTAAAACTACAAATGAGGACAAACAAACTTAGGATGAACCAGATCTTTCTAGGCTCTTTGTGTGGATGAGTCACAAGCAATTAGAGTTGTTATTAAGTTACCAACAAGTACAGCCTGCACATCTTGGAACAAGAACTTCAGCAGCCAATGTGGGAAACAAAGTTTGAACAGGACGCTGACACTATTTCTACCTTTTCCACCCTTTCAGCCCTACACCTTTACCGAAAGAAGGACACATGTTATAAAGGACAGACAATAGGAAGAAATTCTTAGATACCTAATCAAAAGAAAAGTACAAAGGGGAAAAAGTAAGTAATCCATGCCATGTGTTGTCTAGAAATACTGTCTGATTCAGACGCTGATGTTGATGAGTTGGATAGGAGAAACAGAGCAGCTCCTTCAGATCTCATTTTTCTGGGTAGCCTGTGTGTATAGGTAAATCTATGAAGTCCATTTCCAGAATGGCATTCTCCTTAGTCAAGAAGGGAAACTCTGACAATTAACTTCGAAATCTGAGGCAGGGTAGTATTTTTTTCAGTCTCCAAAGATCAGCGGAAACACGTCATGGGAAGTAACATCTACATATAAAGCAATTATAGATCTGCTGAGTCTAAAATATACATAGAGAGAGAGAGAGCAAGAAACTGGTTCACAGGTACCTAAAGGTATGGAATTTGTACTATGCCTAAATCATCAAAGTTAATAAGTGAAAAACTTCTGGTTTAGGTTAATACATTTCTATGTGAAGGAGTGAAGCACAAACGTACTACCTAGTTAAGAATTTTTTTAAGAATTTGCTAGCTAGAGTGGCACAATGCTCTGCTGATTTTAGTTTCAGTAGAATAACACTGCGAGATACACAGATACTGAAAACAGAACATACAGACCCAAGGTTTAAATATTTTCACTTTGAAAACTGTCACAGCCATCAGAAGATTTGATCATATCAAATTATATTTTTAAATTCTATTCCTTTGAAAAGTAATTTGATGAAAAATAATTACACCACCACTAGTTGAGACAGAGCAAGAGCTGTCACTATAATAAAGGGATAGCTACAAAGTTTGCCACAGGAACAATTAAAAAGATAATATGTTTAGCTGTATAAATTGTTTAAAGGTAAGACACAAAGCAATGAGCCCGGATAAGAGGAGGCGCCACACTGGTCATACCTCTCTAAGCAAAGGCAATCAAAGCTCCAGATTAGCATCTTCCTAACAAGCAACTGACTCCAAGGCATGGGTCATAATCAGAGACGTATTTCCGGGTTCAAGAGCAACTAGACTCTTTTTAATAGAAGAATCTAAAACAGAATTTCCCTATAAACCTCTTTTCATAAAGAACCCAAATCAGAGTTTGAGATTAGCAGATGCAAACTATTATATATAGAATAGATAAACAACAGTCCTACTGCAAAGCACAGGGCACCGCAGTCAATATCCTGTGATAAAGCATAATGGGAAAGAATATGAAAAAGAAAATAAATGTACAACTGAGTCACTTTGCTGGATAGCAGAAATTAACACTACATTGTAAATCAACTGTACTTCAATAAAATAAATTTTTAAAAAAGAACCCAAAACATTTATGCTTTATCTTGTTAAATCAATAGAACAGTAACACTGTTACAACAGTGGTCCCACTAGATGAAATAGATGAAGTTTTGCCAACAAAATATTATTCACCCACTTAAAAAACGTGATCAACGAAAGAGATCCAGACCACTGGAGAGGTAGAGAATAACTCATAGAAGTCTAATTCCTCGTCTACGGTGTTTCTTTAGCTCAGCTAGAGAAAGCACACACATTTCATTGCTCTGGCTGTCATTCTGAAAGGGGCTAATGATTTTCTGCAATGAAAACAGGCTGAGAAAAATAATGGAACTTAGTCACTAAGAAGTCCTTCTCTACTTAAAAAGACAACTCAAGCAGAGGCTCAGAGTTGGAGAACAATATCTGAGAAACTGCCATGTGTTTCACTGATAGAAACCTAAGTGGTGATAAATCAAAGATGTAAGATCTATTCCTTACTCAAACATCAACAGGAAACTCTTCTTGCAGCAGAGTTAAACAAAATTATGAATTCAATAGTTGATTGAAGTTCCTCTCTGTGGCATGAGAGAACTTTATAAAGAGCTAAAATTGAGATAGTGCTATATGATATATACAGTCTTTCCCCAGACTATAGCATTGAATATGGCACATTTAATAATACACATGGTACCTGCTTTAGTGACGTGCATTGCATCTGACCAATGGCCAGTTACTTGACTCTAAGACATTAATAATATGGCAGTTGAATAATATATAAAAAAAAAAACCCAATCAACAAAGCCTGCTACTGTAATCTTGAATAAAACACTTCAGGTTAAAATATATCATTTCCAGGATTCACAGTTGTAAATGATAATTCCATATGAACAGGATCTGTTAAGCATCCTCAGACCGAAACTATCAAAAAGATTTATTAGGTCACCTAGCTCAATAACTCTTGCAGTGCAAGTCTAGGGACCTTAGATATTGCTGTGCTTGATTCCAGGGGACAACCCTGGTTGCCAAGTTAAAGCTGAGCAACAAGTATGAGTCCTCCAAAATACAAGTTTACACTAAGAATGAAAGCATAGCCCTCAACGTGGACCATGCGCTCAGACACAAAGTGCAAGCCACTGACAAACAGCTCAGAAAGCCAAGAAAAAGTACAAAACCCATTAGCTTTCAAACTTCGAAACATCCAGAGACAGAATCAGAAACAGAAGCTTTGATCTTTTAAAAGTGGTCTTCACAAACCAGTTTTGTGTTTGTTTCCATTTTCTTTCACAGTTTAAGCCTCAATCAGATCAGCTGTCTCCAGGGATTTTGAAATTGCTATAGATTAAAATCCTCTCTGACTCAACTGTTTGACTAATGCCGGGTGTTTAATAATTCTACTTGTAAGAGACTTTTTTTTTTATGAAACCCTGCTGTATGCTAGTTTCAGATGCACCACAGCTGCGCCATATAGAAAGCATCACTGTCCTTACTTTTGTTATCACTGCATTTAGAGATGAGAAAATGTATCATGGAAAACAGTTCTGTTAAAGATGGGGCTGAAAACAATTTTACAATATTAATTTAGCAACTACCACCTATAGAAGAAAAGACCTATTTCCAGGTACCAACGATACATATTCGTGGCGTGGTTTCAAGGATAGGAAGTTAATAACTGTGATAGACAGAGTTAAGTTAATGAATTTCTAAACTTCATGCTTTCAATAATAAAGCCATTTAAGCTATAGCATTTGGACTCTCTGCTTCCACAGATCAGGCACTTTGATACTCAACAGGTTGAGTAAATTGAATCCATATATTGTATTTACGTTCTCTGTCAAGGTTGCTTCTCCACATTTGAGAGATCAAAGGCTAAAACAGTCATCAACCCTGTAGCCTTCAATACTGTGTTCATTACATTTAATCAAGTGCCAACTCCATGGTATCATTCACCAACCTTAACAATATTTAAATGCATGGAGTTGTTTGGCAGCAAATGTAGGCACAGTATTGTTTTAATACACAGACACGCACGCAACTCCCCACATTCATGTGTACGCACACTTGCTCGCTCACACGCAGCCATCCCTCCTCACCCTCCTTCCCCAAGAGAAGAGAAAGATGGCAAGAAATATACAGTAGCTACACTGTGCAAAAAAAGAAGTTAAAAAGGCATGGGAAAAAAAAACATTAAACATTTTGTACGTAGTCTTCTACCTGAGGCAGCATCGATCACGGTGGAAATTCCCCTTCGATCAGACACTGGACGGGATGACCCTGGCATGCTGACTGGGTCAGAGCGGACTGGCTGGATCCTGCAATGCAATTGAATTTAATTCACATATGTTACCAGCATCAAAACTGTCCCATGCTACCACAGACCCCAAATCAGCAATGCTAGAATAGCCCAGTCCATTAAAGAACCATTCACTCTAAAATAAGGCAAATGAGTGAACTTGCAGTCCCTAAGATTCTTTCAAAAGACTTAAAGCACAGCATTCTCTACACTCTGGACCCCTTCGTCTCGTTTTGTGGTTTTCAACAGCTTTTAAACAAGGGGTTGAAAAACGGATGTTCATTTACAAAGGGACAAATGAAATGCAATGAGAGAAGACACAAAGCACATTATGCCGAACCCTTTGGCATTTGAAAAGTATATGTGGAATTGAGACAAATGGTACATAGGAAGCTATTTGCAAAGCAGAAATAGAGACACAGGTGAAGAGAACAAGTATATGGACACCAAGGTGGGAAAGGAGAAGACGGGTGAGTTGAGAGACAGGGACTGACATATGTACTATGTATAAAACAGATAACTAATGAGAACCTACTGCATAGCACAGGGAGCTGTGCTCCCTGTATACATATACATACATGTATATGTATGACTGAGCTGCTCTGCTGTGCGCCTGAAACTATCACAACTCTCTATTTTAGTTATACTCAAATACAGAATAAAAGGTTAAAAGAAGGGAGATGAAGAGTTTTAAGAATCTTCAAATTCATGAATAGAATCGTTGCCTTCCTTAAAAGACATCAGTTGATACAAAAATTTGAGTCACTCTCTTAAAATCCTTAAAGAAAATTATTTTACATATGGCAACAAGCATAGGATAACAAACCTAGACAGCATATTAAAAAGCAGACATCACTTTGCCGACAAAGGACCATACAGTCAAAGCCATAGTTTTTCCAGCAGTCATGTACCGATGTGAGAGATGGACCATAAAGAAGGCTGAGTGCCAAAGAATTGATGCTTTTGAACTGCGGTGTTGGAGAAGACTCTTGAAAGTCCCTTGGACTGCAAGGAGATCAAACCAGTCCATCCTAAAGGAAATCAGTCCTGAATATTCACTGGAAGGACTGATGCTGAAACTGAAACTCCAATACTTTGACCACCTGATGTGAAGAACCGACTCCTTGGAAAAGACCCTGATGCTGGGAAAGATTGAGGGCAGGAGGAGAAGGGGTAACAGAGGATGAAATGGTTGAATGGCATCACCGACTCAATGGACATGAGTTTGAGCAAACTTCAGGAGATAGTGAAGGACAGGGGAAGCCTGGCGTGCTGGAGTCCATGGGGTCACAAAGAGTCAGGTATGACTTAGCGACTGAACAACAAAATAGGATAACACAGCTGTGTTGGGATGTGGCTGCCAGGTGGTTAGCTAAAATCTCTACTATCTAACTGAGTTACCACGACAATATCACTAATTAGCATGTAAGAATCAATTAGAATGTCAGCGAAACTTCAATTTACTACATATGAGTTTAAGTTGCTTGGAAATGGTGAATCTATTAATGATAAAAGTCTAGTTCCAGCTGTATTTCCGTACTATTCACTGAAGGATTTCTGTATCGCTAAAAGAGCTGACAGGCCCAGGCAACTTAAAGGAATAAAGACTTACTATAATAGTCTCAGTGTGCATTTTTTGGCAATGCATTCATTCAATAAGTATTTGTTGAGTATTAGTAATGTGTCAGCAGTATTCTAGGAACAAGCAGAAACAAAACACAAAATGCAAAGTCTGTGTGCATATATATGGTATAGCACACAGGCATTCAAAACTGATGCAAAGGAAAACTAGTGTGAAAATGAATGAAATAGGTAATAAGAGCTCGGAAAGAGGAAATGAGGGAATGAAAGCATGGTCCATAGCAGAGTGTGAGGATCTTGTGGAGTTGGAACAGAAACTGGACCTCTATACAGTGTTAGGATGATGTTATTTATATGCAAAGGAGCAAGAAGATCTCTTTAAACACAGAAGTAGAAAAAGCAAACCCTTGGATTTGCGGCCAAGCATGATAAATGCAGGTCATCTTGACGAGCATGATTTGGCTTATGCATAGAGTTTATAGAGGACACTGATGAAGGTAAGAAGTTGATAAGCACCATGGAACATTACAGAAGCCTGACATTTCAATTATGGACTGTAGAAAAAGGGTCCTCACTGAAAGCACAGTAGGAATGTATATGTGTTTGTTGTATGAAAGGCAGAAATAGGAGGGAGGTGAAAACTGCATTTGACCTAGTACTGGAAGTTGGAAATGCTGATATACTAATATTGATCACTGCTCTAGTGGTGTACTACCCAATAGCCCTTCTATACCAGCTTATTTTCTCAAACCAGTCATGGTGATCCCATCATCTCATGGTGAGATTAATTAGGTCTGTGATGAGTAGGTCTAAGCAAATGTGGGCCAATAAGAAAAGAGGAGGAGTTTACTTGACGTTTCTAGAAGAGATGTTTTCTGGGTCTTAATGAAAAACAAGCAGCTAGCCTGTTAGATATGCTCAGTGCATGCAAATTAAAGCTCCCTCCCAGTCTAAATAACTTATGTGGGCTAATAAATTTCCTATTATTAATTCAATTTATAGCACTGGAGTTTCTGAATCAACCACGGTTGTGGGTGGAGTGTGGTTTGGGCTAGAGATGAAAGAAGGTTGGCCAAGAACTGATGGATTGAAACTGGGCAACAGACACACAAGGGTTTAGTCTATTATTCTTCTTAATTTTACAAATTTTATATATGCTTAAAATGTTTCCATAATAAAAAAAAAAAGACAAAAATAAAAACAAACTGGTAGGGGTGATGAAAATGTCCCAGAATTAGGAGGATGCAGCAAAATATAGTGACTATATTAAAACTACTGAACTGTACACTGTGTTTCATGTTATATTAATTACATATCAATTAAAATAACATAATTAAAGCGTGAGGATCTAATGTATCACACAGTAACTATGGTTTTGATAATACTGAAGTTTGCCAAAAGAGTAGAAGTTAAATGTTCTCACACAGAAAGATCACAAGATACATATATAAACTATATCAAACAATGGATGTATTAATTAATTAGATGAAAAAATAAAATGAAATGAAGTTGGTTTCCCAGGAGCTAACCTCGAATGGAAAACTAGGTTTTATATCTCAGTTTCTTTTACATTATCTATTTCTCAGGTCTATTCATACATATTTCACTGACCTTTTTCTACATGTTAAATCCCTGTTCCAAATAAGGAGCTGCTATGAGGTTAGCCAGGCTTCCCTGGTGCCTCAGTGGTAAAGAATTCACCTGCTAATGCAGGAGACATGGATTCGATCCCTGTGTCGGGAAGATCCCCTGGAGAAGGAAATGGCAACCCACTCCAGTGTACTGGCCTGGCAAATCCCACAGACAGACGAGCTTGGCGGGCTATTGCCCATGGGATCACAAAAGAGTCAGACGTGACTGAGTGACGAGACAACATCAAGGTTAGCCATGCCTGGTCTCCTTACGGATGTGACAGCCAACAACACACCTGACAGCTACCATTTTGGTTAGGATACAGGAAGGCAGACTATCACAGCATCATATTAATTCTCAGTGATCTGGGGTACAGGAGAAGGCACTGAATGTGAAGGGTCAGTTGCACCAAAAAATCTAAACAAGACTTCGCAATTTAAAGGAGAAAGTAAAGTCAACAGCCATAATGCCCCTGTGCATAAGCTGAAAGAATTGTAGAACCAGACATAAGGAGTCTGGATAAAGTGACAGTGCACAGAGGTGAGGAGAATATCAAGAGTGGGATTTCTAATTGGATGCTGGGCGGGAAATAGTACTAAACAGGACACATAATTGAAACAATGTGAGATAAATCTGAATTTTTCATAAAAATTGTGTTCTCATGGGGTTAAGATCTTAACCAAGGGCCTATATGCTCAAAATTTTAAATATAAACTGCAAGCGAAATACAACAAAATTATAAACCTGGGACTAATATAAAGGTTTCTAATATTTATATATGCCCAACAAATAGGACATAAACAATTTAAAGATAAATACCGGGATCTCTTTAGTATAAGAAAAAGGAAAAGTCCCTGAGGAAAATTCTAGAGGATTTCAGGAATAAAGCTGTCTGAAGAAGCAAGTTAGAGAGCTCTTAGACAAAGACCTGCGTCTGAAGTAAGGGCTAACCAAGAAAGCTAGAGGAGGTCAAAAACAAAGGAACAGGGACATCCCTGGTGGTTCAGCGGCGGGGGCTCTGCGCTTCCAATGCAAAAGGCCTGGGTTCGATCCCTGTTCAGGGAACTAGATCCCGCATGCCACAGCTAGGAGTCTGCATGCTGCAAATAAAGATCCTGCATGCAGCAACTAAGACCCAGCAAAGCCAAATAAATAAAAAATTCTAAAAACTCAAAGGAACAGAGCCGGGTGCACAGAGCTGGAGATGTTCTCCAAAAAAAGGGACAGGATCTTATCAGAGCAGCAGGTGACAGTCATCAGAAAAAAAAAGTGGGGGGGGGGTCGCTGAGAATCTAGTAAATAGTAAAGAGAATAAACATAGTTTTATAGGTTCGTTTTATTACTATGTAAGTAACAGAATAACCTACAAAAAACAGATGAATATGCACTGAATCACTAAGCTGAGAACTGACTCTGCTTGACTTCCTGAAAATGGACCATACTTTATAATTGGTATCTGTGAAAAATGGTCCAGCATCCACCAAGTTGCCTCACCACTGAAGAAAAGTTCTACTTCTAGAAAGCTGAAGAAAATATAATAGACCCAAAAGAGCAAAAAAAAAAAAAAAGTGGGAGCCTATTATACAGAATGAAGTCAGAAAGAAAAACACCAATACAGTATACTAACACTTATATATGGAATTTAGAAAGACTGTAACAATAACCCTGAATGCAAGACAGCAAGAGAGACACAGATGTATTGACAGTCTTTTGGACTCTGTGGGAGAGGGCGAGGGCGGGATGATATGGGAGAATGGCATTGAAACATGTAAATTATCACATGTGAAACGAATCGCCAGTCCAGGTTCGATGCGTGATACAGGGTGCTCAGTGCTGGTGCACTGGGATGACCCAGAGGGATGGGATGGGGAGGGAGGTGGGAGGGGGATTCAGGATGGGGAACACATGTACACCCATGGCAGATTCATGTCAATGTATGGCAAAACCAATACAATGTTGTAAAGTAAAATAAATAAATAAATTAAAAAAAAGAATTTCAAAAAAGTAAAAAAAAGTGAAGAAATAAAAAAGGAAAGCAAACTCAAATAAAAAACTAAAATACTTGAAAAGGTATTAGAGGAGACATGTTCCATCACATGTGCGTGTGTACTAAGTCGCTTCAGTCGTGTCTGACCCTCTGCAGCCCCACAAACTGCAGCCCACAGGCTCCGCTGTCCATGGATTCTCTAGGCAAGAATACCTGGAGGAGACTACCCTTTCCTCCTCCAGGGAACATTTCCAGGAATCAAACCTGGGTCTCTACGTCCTCTGCATTCGCAGGTGGGTTCTTCACCACTAGCGCCACCTGGGAAGCATTACATGAGTTGTTCTTAAATAGGATGAGATGGTTGGATAGCATCACCAACTCAATGGATGTGAATTTGAGCAAACTCCTGGAGCTAGTGAAAGACAGAGAAGTCTGGTATGCTGCAGTCCATGGGGTTGCAAAGATTTGGACACGACCTAGTGACTGAACAGAAAGAAGAAACTAGTCCTAATTCACCTCTACAACAGCTTTTGCCTTAACGAAGAATAAAAATTTGTTATATATTTGTATACTTACAGTATAAAAATTTGTTACTAATGTTGACAAAGAAGTAGAATAAAAACATATTCCCAACATACGATTGGAACACATTTTTCAAACAAGTTTTTAAAAAAGAAATTCAATAAAAAGGTAAAAGGGTTATTTTAGATTCAGATAAACATATACTGTAGAAATTTTTCTGAAAAGAACACAAAGAAAGGAAATTATATTGCATTAGACTGGGCCCTTCATCATCTGTTGTACCCTGATATGTCAAGTCTTGGCATAACAAATTAAACTGCTAAGCAAACTTAAGTTGTCTTAGAAGTCAAGTTAAGTTGACTTAAGAAGTCAAGAAGTTCTCAATTACGTTTTAAAAAAAAAACCCTAAAAATAAAAAGCATACTCTGTAAACTTTGTATAATGATTCTTACAAGTGAGGATCAAAGAATATGTATGATGAAAACACAGAGATAGAGGATAATCGGAAATACGAGAAAGGCAACATAAAATAGGATGGCTGTTAAAAGTGCACTGAATATTAGATCCAGGAAAGTACAATCTAGAACACAAATATTTATTGGAGGTGATGAGATCTCACGTAAGATCCCCAGTGATTAGTAATGAATCACAAGTTACAGTGTATGTGTTCTGCAATATGATACAGTGTGAAAGGGGGAAACGTAAAGTTATCTAAGATGTTCACTACAAATGAGCATATTAATCTGGTCAAATCACTCTCTAGTTCTTATTTCTTACCTGAGACTGTTGAGGTCAAGATCATCCGTATCAAAATCCGAAAGGGGCTGTGGAGTATCACTTGGACCATGAGACTGCAACACAGATGAACTGGATGATATGACTGTGGTCTGGCCTGAGGGATGGATGGTTTTGAACTGGAACTGTGGACCCATCCACAGACGTCTGTGGGGTCCGGTATGCGTTACAATTTCTACCTGGAACAGACCAGGAATCATGATTGAGGTGTATCATGACTTCCTTCTGAGAGCCTTTCATCATCCCCCCATCTCGTCTCTGAACACCCACATTCTCCAAGAAGCCCATCTTAACCTAGTGGGAGAGGGAGAGAGTATCATCCACAAGCAGAAAGTTGTCACAACAGCATGTCTATAGACATGACATGACATGTCATGCATGACAAAAGAATGTCTATAGACATTCACTACATCCATCTACTGGTTTTTGTCACAATATAATAAAAATTTATTTAGTGTCTGTATGTGTATAAACCGGAGAACACACACACACACCCATACACAACACAAAAATCACATGAATATAAAGGACCAGTTGCCTGCCTCAACACCTAGCATTGGCTACCTAAGGAGTACCTTTTTCACTCATTCTAGACAGTCCTTATCACTCTGTGGGCATGCAGTGAATATTACACTTGTCAATCCACATATTAAAAGTAATTCCTTCACTGAGGACTAAGCTCATAACAAATGCGAAGCTGTTCTTGAACTATACAAGGAAAAGAAAAGGTCTGAAATAATTTAACACTCATAGCCAGTTTCTTTCCACAATTAAATATTATAATATTTACTATACTTCCCTCAAAATTCCCCCAAATTTACTTTTAAAGGAAGGCAGGATTACAAATTTTCTCTCAAACTAGATTTGTCTTCAAAATACCATTTCTTAACTACAATGTTTCCTCAGCTCCCACGAATTTTGACATAGGTATTTTAAATGCTGCAGAACAGTAATACCAAAATGCTTTATGAATTTCATGCTCTATGGAAGAGGCAGGGAATGTTGCCAATATCAGACAAAGCAGAGAGGAGGACACGCGGTAAAACCTAAAAATAAACGTGATTTTATAAACAAGAGACTTGAATAAGAGACTAAATATGCAAACCTTTGGTGAGACACTATTTCTCAATGTCTTATAATTGCTACATTCATGTCTATATACACAGTTCACAGAACTGACTTCCCATGGGCCTTAATGTTGCCCTGAGTTCTTTTGTATTTAATCACACTTCTCTGATTGTGGTGATTAATTCTTAACAAAACACAACTAAAAAGGTTCACGGAGTGCAGCTCCGTGTTTGCAAAGTCCTAAAGGGCAAAAGCATCATGGTCTTGGAACAATATCCACATTCCCACTAATCATGAGGAGAAAACGACTCAGATTTAGGACAGTGATTTCTCATTCGAGGAGTTGTATTCAGCAACATAAATGAGGCCACAGATAAAGCATGCTGTGTATTTTAAGCTCAAAACCATCAGTGTCACAGAGCCGAGAGGTAAACAGATGCCTGTGCAATTTCACTGAGGCGATGGCCAGATGTTCCTGCTCACCCTCCTGTTGTGTGCCGTACAAACATATTGTGTACACTTTCACACTGACAGCACACATTACCCCTTTTTCTAATTGAAAAGTTGAAGTGAAGGACAGTGCTTTCTCTGCCAGCATCCTTTTTAAAAAAACTTCATTGTGGTATCCTCAAGAAAGGATGCATCTCCATGTGCAACCTAAAGGAGTTTTTCCTGTATTTTCAGTGTGATGAAAAGTATGTCACCTAGAAACAATTTCATTCTCTGGTTTCCAGATTCCCTTTAGTATTTTGGGCTCTCCTCCCTGAGAAAGCAGTGAAACTGCACCCGGGCCCCTAGGAGGCACCTGTCTGCTGAAAAGCTGCGGGGATTTGGTAATCCGAGACCCGGTCATTAACTTCACCCAGTGATGTCAGACTTGAAACAGACATAACAGCATCTGTAATGAAGTCACTTGTAATCTCATCATTTTGAAATCTGCCTGAGTATCTTTTATTTCAAAGCCCTGGAGATGAAGACAGCTTCACCTGGCAAGGGGAGGAAAGGTCAGTGGAAGCTGTTACAGGACTGGTTTGGAGACCCTTGGAAGCCACGTTACAGGAGCTTAGGAAAGGAAAGCCAGGCTGGCACTTGTCAAATTAGGAGGCAGAACTTCCCTAATCAAAGTCTGGGCCCAGTCTTCAGAAAATCTTGCCTCCACAAAAGAAAGCCCAAAGATTATTGAATGGCTTCACCATTTTAACCAGGCCAGTTCTTATCTTAATCCAAACAGTCCATCTGAAATCTAGGGTTCTGGGGGATATAAATGGCTTGTTTGAAAGATATGCGTACTTTATGTTCTCTGCATGAAAGCTAATGTACACACACATATATGTATATGTGTGTGTATAAAATATATGTATATGTAGCCCTGCAGCAGTATTTCTGAGAAATTCTTAATATGGAAAGATGACCAATTCTTGATGACCCTAAAAATAATCCAAATTCTGCCCATTTTCCTCTAAGGAAAAAAATTTTTTTAATAAAAAGAGATAAATGGATCTCTGTTTTCTGTCACCTTAATAGACCCAATGTTTCAGAGTCTCACCTGAGACAGCCACTCTTCATCTTCCTGTCCACTATGGTCAGAAGCTAAACTGTCATAGGACCCGTGCCGAGTAATGGGCCCAGGACTTCCAGGGGGAACCACTGAAGGAGAAAGAAAACATATTTAAACAACTTTAATCCATGCTGTGAAAAAATAAAATGAATACGGGCATAACCATCCTGGATACTGTGGTGATTTATAAGCTAAAATAAGACACTTAACACACAATTCAAATAATAATGAAGAAGAAAGATTAAATTTCTTAGGAGCAAGAAAAATCTCCAACTAGGAGCACACCTTAAAAAATACCTGTGGAGATCTAATCATTACATATATCATTGTTGAAAAAATAAACAATTAACTGCATCTAACAGCACAAGTACATAAGAAGCAGTGACAATTCCACTGCCTGTGCACCAATGTAATTCCTATATCTCAGGACACTTCAATGCCTTCCACCTAACAAAGAAATTAGGTTGATGTACTTCTTATAATTTGGGAAGGGGTTTTAAAAACAAGTATCATTTAAGAGTCTTTAAGAGTCTACTTAATAGTTTCACATAAATGGAAGGCATGAAAACATTTTAAATTTTAGTCAGGATGGCTGCTATCCAAAAGTCTACAAGCAATAAAACGCTGGAGAGGGTGTGGAGAAAAGGGAACCCTCTTACACTGTTGGTGGGAATGCAAACTAGTACAGCTGCTATGCAGAACAGTGTGGAGATTTCTTAGAAAACTGGAAATAGAACTGCCATATGACCCAGCAATCCCACTTCTGGGCATACACACCGAGGAAACCAGATCTGAAAGAGACACGTGCACCCCAATGTTCATCGCAGCACTGTTTATAATAGCCAGAACATGGAAGCAACCTAGATGCCCATCAGCAGACGAATGGATAAGGAAGCTGTAGTAAATATACACCATGGAATATTACTCAGCCATTAAAAAGAATTCATTTGAATCAGTTCTAATGAGATGGATGAAACTGGAGCCCATTGTACAGAGTGAAGTAAGCCAGAAAGATAAAGACCAATACAGTATACTAACACATATATATGGAATTTAGAAAGATGGTAACGCTAACCCTATATGCAAAACAGAAAAAGAGACACAGATGTACAGAACAGACTTTTGGACTCTGTGGGAGAAGGCGAGGGTGGGATGTTTCGAGAGAACAGCATCGAAACATGTATATTATCAAGGGTGAAACAGATCACCAGCCCAGGTGGGATGCATGAGACAAGTGCTCGGGCCTGGTGCACTGGGAAGACCCAGAGGATCGGGTGGAGAGGGAGGTGGGAGGGGGGGATCGGGATGGGAAACACCTGTACATCCATGGCTGATTCATGTCAATGTATGGCAAAAACCACTACAATACTGTAAAGTAATTAGCCTCCAACTGATAAAAATGAGAAAAAAAAACACCACTTTTAGTTCCTAAAACAATGATTTATCAAAAGAAATGTTTCTTTTCTTTTTTTTTTTTAATGCTTCTATAGTTTCCCTAATTTTTAGGTCATAGGAGATAGGCTTAAAGCAGAAACAGCCTGCTTCTCATACACAGGACCATCTCTGCTTGGTGTCAGTCATTCAGTCGTGCCCAAGTCTTTGTGACTCCAGGGCTGTGGCCCACCAGGCTCCTCTGTCCATGGAATTCTCCAGGCAAGAATACTGCAGTGGGTAGCCCTTCCCTTCTCCAAGAGATCTTCCTGACCCAGGGATTGAACCTGGGTCTCCCTCACTGCAGGAAGATTCTTTCCTAATAGTAAAGATGCCTAGGTTAGGAAGATCTCATGGAGAAGGAAATGGCTACCCACTCCAGTATTCTTGCCTGGAGTAGTCCATGGACAGAGGAGCCTGACAGGCTACAGTCCATGGGGTCGCAAAGACTTGGACATGACTGAGTGACTAATCTTTGCTTAGTCAAAGCAATAAAATGATTCAGTAAACATTTATTGAGTTCCTACTATGAACCAAATATTATCCCAACAAAAACTTAGCCTCCTCTACTTAAAGTCCCATACTTTTTATTTGCTTATTTTTATTATAAAATAGGACTTTAATTTTTTAGAACAATTTTAGGTTCAAAACAAAATGGAAGAGAAGATACAGAGATTTCTCATACATTCTCTCCCTCATTAAACACTTTAATACTAAGAGAAATAAAGCAATAAAGTACTGAGGGGAAATAGAGAAAAGAAAAGAGAACCAAAGAGGAAGGAAAGATTGTGAGTATTAAAGAAACCTGGAAGAAATAGAATAGAATGAGAGAAAGAAAATAATCTCAGAATCTCTACCACCCAGAGATATGTTTATATACTTTAGTATGTATATTTTCCATAGGCTACATTTCTAAAATTGAAATCAGAGGATATGAACATATCTAAATTTCTTAGTGCATACTCCCAGAAAGATATATATATTTCCACAAGGAGTGACTCACAAGCCAATCTCATAACGCTCTTTCCAGAACAAGTATTTTGATGAACTAACTCAACAAAACAGGTGTAAGTGAAGTAGACCGAGCAGAATGTAGGGCAAGATTTAAAGAAGACATATTCACAAAAACCTTATCTTAGCTAGCTGGGAGGGGAGAAATGATACTTAACCCAGTCAATCACTCATCAGAGGGAGATAAATAGTATTAAAATATAAGATTTGCAATAGTTAAAACTATTAGCTGTGAGTTCTTCAAAATCCTAGTTCTACAGCTGAGAGGCAGGCTGGCAACTGGCACAAAATACAGTGACCACCAAAGCAAAACAATTTCCTAGGATTCTGAATATCATGAAGAAAAGAATATCATAATCAATTAATGTTGAAGCATCCTTTTAGATAAAAACTGATAAGTAAATTTATGTTTGCAAAAGGCTAGGTGTTTCCCAACCACTTGTAATTTTTTAATAAAGGTGAAATTCTTGATACAGAACAGAGCAAGAGTATGCCTCGAAACTGCCCTCTCCTTAAAGACCAATCAAGAAGGCAGCTAAGGACACATAGATAGAGGTCAGCACAACTTGGAACGCAGCTGAGGGCAGAGAAAATTTTAAAGAGGTGAATGAATAGGCCATGCATACATCTGAGAAGAAAATGTTACAGAAAATATCAATTAAGTGGGAACATGAAATGTTTCAGTCATGTCAGGAAGCCAGAGTGGTAGGTGCGGTGAGGCAAGCTGAGAGTGGAAGATGAATCAGGAAGGCAAAGAGGGAAGGGAGGGAGGGCCGGCAGATGGTTTAGGACTTTTGTTTTTTTAAATAAAGGGTAGACAGATAACTGGAAAAATTGGAAGAGAAGTGAGAAATTATACGCTTGTTACTAACTAGTACCTAATGTGATTTTTTTCCCCAAGAGTTTGTAATATACTCAACATGTGCTGAGCCCAGCCTACTACCTGTTGCAGAATAAACGCTTTATAAATAAATGAATGAACGGAACTTTGGATTCTGGAATAAATAATGAAGGATACCAGGATGGTACGATACTTATCCACCCACCATCAAAATGGGGATAAACTTGGAATTTCCCTGGTGGTCCAGTGGTTAGGATTCTATGCTTTCACTACCAAGGGCCTAGGTTCAATTCCCGGTCAGGAAACTAAGATCCTGCAAGCTGCAAGGCATAGCAAAAAAAAAAAAAAAAAAAAAGTGTGTGGAAGGGTAAATTTAAAAATAATCCAATGGCAGAGAATGGTGAGGAAGAGGATTATAAACATTAGTTTATAATATAATGAAAAAACATTAGTCGTGAGTTGATGACTGTTGAGAATGACAGGTGCATGGAGAGTCATTATACTGACACAATTTCTTTCTAATTTTGTGTATGTTTGAGATTTCCCACAGTGAAAAGTTTCTCAAGGAGGAAAAAAAAAATCTCTTTCTCCTCCTCTCTTCCCACCCATCCTGTTTCCCAAAGGAACTGGTCAAAATACCAATCATATATCTATGAAACATTAAATCTGAATCCTAAATTACTAAATAGAGATTGTGAGAAGAGTTACCATACTTTATGTTCACTAAAAAACTGTATTCCAATTAAGAATGCTTGGAAGCATTCAGAAGATTCACAATATAAAAATATGTGTGGTGGAAAAATATTTTTCAACATAAATATCCTTTCCCTCTCCCTCACATTTCTTTACATTTAAAACTTTCTCCAATCAGGTAGGAAGAACACCCCATGATTACTAGCTGGTGGAAACAATGACATACCCAGTCACAAAAAAGACAGGAATTCAAAACCCTGACCCTGGGATAAGAAAGAGAGATTAAAAGTATGACATTTAAGAGCAAAGCTCCCATGGTGTCCAAGCAGCTATCAGGAAAGACATGCAGAAACTGGAACAAGAGCCTCATAAACAGAAAGAGGAAAAAAGAGGGTTCCCAAGGAAGGGTACAAGATGTCAGAAAGAGTTTTAGGGATGAACAACTGTGAAAAATCCTAATTTGATCCTTGGGTAGAGTTTCGGGAAGTAGCAGGAGATTCCACTTGGGAAGCAGCATGGAGATTTTGCCCTTCTACAGTAGAGAAGGTGTGCACATAGTGTGTTTTCACAGCTGAGCCTGTGACAACCTCTCCAAGTCCCCTGTGAATGTGGTGGTGGATATTTACTGTACATTCAAGAGTAATATGGACAAGGTCCAGGCAATTGTCAGGCTTTGAAAAGGCTTTGAAACAAGGATGGATGTTACAAAGACCTATGTGAACCAATGTGCTAACTAGTTGCTCAGGCATGTCCGACTCTTTGCAACTCCACGGACTGCACACTGCCAGGCTCCTATGATCATGGCATTCTCCAGGTAAGAATACTGAAGTGGATAGCCATTCCATTCTCCAGGGGATCTTCCTGACCCAGGGACTGAACCCAAATCTACTGCATTGCAGGCAAATTCTTTATCATCGGAGCCATCAGGGAAGCCCATGAACCAATACAACAGCCAACGATTAAATCTGGTAAGGAATTGGGACATCTCAGTGGTGAAAATAGAGGTAAAATATCTTTAGCAATCCCATCTCATATCTGTAAGCCCTACAGAATTTAGATGCAACTATGTAGGAGGTTATAATTGACTGAGATTAATTTTTCCATATTTGTTAG